CACTCACTGGTCAACCTCCTTGGGTCTCCCTCTGTACACTCACTGGTCAACCTCCTTGGGTCTCCCTCTGTACACTCACTGGTCTTATTATAAAACCATTGATGTGTGTTTTCGTCTTTCAGTTGATAATTTAAGTACAGTAAATTGGTGTGTTTTGTGAGATGTGGCACCATTGTGTTTGTTTACATTGTATTAAAGTCATTGTACAGTTGCTTACACTTACACCTGGTACAGACAAGACAACACTGTGGAAGGTTTCTCTAGGATCATGATCAAACCTGTCCTAACCTAATCTACCCTAACATAACATAACCTAACCTAATCTAACCTAACATAACCTAACCTAACCTAACCTATCTAACCTAACATAACCTAACCTAACCTAACCTAACCTAATCTAACCTAACATAACCTAACCTAATCTACCCTAACATAACCTAACCTAACCTAACCTAACCTAACCTAATCTACCACAACTTAGCCTAACCCTAACTAGCCTAATCTACCCCCCAGGTACCATTTGGGTGCTAATCATCAGGTGAAATAGGCCAGGGGTGGCTAACCTTCATGTGATTTCACGAACCTCCATAAATAAAACATAAATAATAGTGTTATTCTAATTTAATGGTGAAAAAGTTGCCCAGGTGAACATGTATGGTGAACAGGTGCCAGGTGAACATGTGGCCAGGTGAACAGGTGGCTAGGTGAACATGTGGCCAGGTGAACAGGTGGCCAGGTGAGGTGAACAGGTGGCCATATGAACAGGTGAACATGTGGCCAGGTGAACAGGTGGCTAGTGAACATGTGGCCAGGTGAACAGGTGGCCAGGTGAACAGGTGCTAGGTGAACAGGTGACATATGAACAGGTGAACATGTGGCCAGGTGAACAGGTGGCTAGGTGAACATGTGGCCAGGTGAACAGGTGCTATTCAGTAATTCCCAAACTCGTAACAGCTGTTAACAGTAAGCTGCTCACTCAACCGTATGAACTCAATAATGCTGACCAAGAGAGATGACTAACACACTGACTACGGTGACTTAAACCTTTGAGTACGATACTACGTCGTCATACTCAAGGGCGTTACTCATCGTACTCAAGGGGTTAAATCATCGTACCAAAGGGGTTAAATCATCGTACTCAAGGGGTTAAATCATCGTACTCAAGGGGTTAAATCATCTTATTCAAGGGGTTAAATCATCGTACTCAGGTTAAATCATCTTATTCAAGGGTTAAATCATCATACTCAAGGGGTTAAATCATCGTACTCAAGTTAAATCATCGTACTCAAGGGGTTAAATCATCTTATTCAAGGGGTTAAATCATCGTACTCAAGGGGTTAAATCATCATACTCAAGGGGTTAAATCATCGTACTTGAATCAGTATACCCAAAGATGGGTTGGATGTGGTTAGGTTAAGTTAGGTTAGTTAAAGTTGGGTTAGGTTAGGAGAGGTTAGGTTAGGAGAGGTTAGGTTAGGTTAGGTAGGTTAATTAAAGCTAGGTTAGGTTAAGTAACAGATTTGGTCACGTGATACAGGCAGTCCGTCATCCCCACTTGTGCCGAAGCTGTAGTCGAGATTGGCCCCAAATTTACTAGTAACTAGGAAGTGATTAGCAGTAATGTACATAATTAACTTGTTATAAAAATGTGTTGCCGTGAACACACCTTATGCGTCACCCCCCTTACACCTGACACCCTTATCCTTGACACCTGACCCTGACACTTTATCCTTGACACCCTTCACCTAATCCTTGACACGTTATCCTTGACACCTCACTGAGAGCGGGTGGGAGCGGTCACGTGTTGTTGTCAGGTAGCGCAAGGTGCAGCCACGTCTGAGGGACACAAGGCTGTAAAGTCTTCCCCGCCTGCCCTCTCTCGCCTGCCCTCTCTCGCCTGCCCTCTCTCGCCCGCCCTCTCGCCCGCCCTCTCGCCCGCCCCTTCGCCTGGCCCTCTCTGTCTGCCTCTCTCGCCTACCTGCTCTCAGTGCAGCCGCGGCCAGGTTAGGGTTATAGGTTAGGCTAGGCTAGGTTAGGTTAGGTGGTAACTTTAGCTCACTAACATCACGCTTAGGAGCAATTTTTTCTCTTCAGTCTTTAATATTTATAATAAAACATGTTTACACTCATCAGGTGATTCACACACACACACACACACAAGCTACTTAATACTTGTCCGATGCAGCAGATAATTTTATGCTGGTACCAGTGGCTGCCACATGTGTGTGTGTGTGTGTGGCCTTGTGGTGTTATAGTCAGCATTCTCGCCTCGTAACCAAGTGCTCCTAGGTTCGATCCCCGGGCAGGATAAAACTATGGTCAAGTTTCTTTACGCCATTTGCCTCTGTCTACCCAGCAGTAATTGGGGACCTGGATGTTAATCGATTTGTGGATCGTGTTCTGGGTAATGGTTAGCCAGTGCAGTTGGCGAGTTGTCCGGTCTTCTCGGACTATTCCTTGACACTGGGTCATGCAGCTCGTTAACTCAGGGTGTGGTTGTTGTGTTGGTGACAGCTTCTATAAACACTGGGTCATGCAGCTCGTTAACTCAGGGTGTGGTTGTTGTGTTGGTGACAGCTTCTATACCTTAAACACTGGGTCATGCAGCTCGTTAACTCAGGGTGTGGTTGTTGTGTTGGCGACAGCTACATAAACACTGGGTCATGCAGCTCGTTAACTCAGGGTGTGGTTGTTGTGTTGGTGACAGCTTCTACACCAAACACTGGGTCATGCAGCTCGTTAACTCAGGGGTGGTTGTTGTGTGACAGCTTCTACCTTAAGCACTGGGTCATGCAGCTCGTTAACTCAGGGGTGGTTGTTGTGTTGGCCAGCTTCTATAAGCACTGGGTCATGCAGCTCGTTAACTCGGGTGTGGTTGTTGTGTTGGCGACAGCTTCTACACCTCAAACACTGGGTCATGCAGCTCGTTAACTCAGGGTGTGGTTGTTGTGTTGGTGACAGCTTCTACACCTTAAACACTGGGTCCAGCTCGTTAACTCAAGTGTGGTTGTTGTGTTGGTGACAGCTTCTACACCTTAAACACTGGGTCATGCAGCTCGTTAACTCAGGGTGTGGTTGTTGTGATAGCGACAGCTTCTATAAACACTGGGTCATGCAGCTCGTTAACTCGGTGTGGTGGTTGTGTTGGTGACAGCTTCTACCTTAAACACTGGGTCATGCAGCTCGTTAACTCAGGGTGTGGTTGTTGTGTTGGTGACAGCTTCTACCTTAAGCACTGGGTCATGCAGCTCGTTAACTCAGGGTGTGGTTGTTGTGTTGCCGACAGCTTCTACATAAACACTGGGTCATGCAGCTCGTTAACTCAGGGTGTGGTTGTTGTGTTGGTGACAGCTTCTACCTTAAACACTGGGTCATGCAGCTCGTTAACTCAGGGTGTGGTTGTTGTGTTGTGACAGTTTACACCTTAAACACTGGGTCATGCAGCTCGTTAACTCAGGGTGTGGTTGTTGTGTTGCCGACAGCTTCTACCTTAAACACTGGTCATGCAGCTCGTTAACTCAGGGTGTGGTTGTTTGTTGGTGACAGCTCTACATAAACACTGGGTCATGCAGCTCGTTAACTCAGGGGTGGTTGTGTTGGTGACAGTTTCTACACCTTAAACACTGGGTCATGCAGCTCGTTAACTCAGGGTGTGGTTGTTGTGTTGGTGACAGCTTCTACACCTTAAACAGATCCACAGGTGGCCAAACCCACTACAACTAACACTAACCCAACACCAACACTAACACAACCTAACACTAACCTATCCTAACTGAACCTAACACTAACTAGCCTATTGTTGTCTAGTTTGTGTGAATATATTTAAATTGTGTTAGAAAGTGATGATGTAAATAGCGTTGTCATGTATTGATGGATACGATAGCATACATACATACATACATACATACATACATACATACATACACTACATACATACATACATACATTCATACATACATACATTCATACATACATACATACATACATACATACATACATTCATACATACACTCAAACGTAAAGACAGACAGACAGACAGACATACACATTATCATCATCAGTCATACTAAATATAATATCAATTACGCCGTAAAGAAAGTGTCAGAGAAATGTTCAGTAATTATCATAAAGACTTATTCTCTGGTCATAATTGGATTATTTTGTCGTTGTTAATTAGGGGAGGGTAATTGAGCAATAGCACCAGCCGCCAAGATATTCTATTTTAGTGAGTGTTGGGGTGATAACGCTTTAATGCTGGAATGGCGTAATGGGCCCTATTACTTAATGGGTGAGGGGTGAGGAGGTGGTAGAGTGAGGAAGGTTAGTGAGGTGAGGGTGGTAGAGGTGAGGAGGGTGGTGGTGTAGAGGTGAGAGTCAGAAATTATACCTATAAGAGAGAATATAAAAAGTACTGTATGTGTGTATGTGTACGTATATATGTATGTGTGTATGTACGTATATATATGTGTGTGTGTGTGTGTGCGTGTGTGTATAAAATATATGTAAATAACTCAATTTATATAAAGTTTTGTTGGTATAATCCCCCGGCCGAGTCGCTAACACCCCGCCCCTGATGCCTCTTGATGCTATTAGGCCCCTAATTGCTGTTAGGCTAGTGCTGTTGGGCCCTAGTCCCATCAGGCCCCAAAACTATTAGGACCCAATCTTATCGGACCTGAACACACTTTATCAAATATAGGGGTCTGAATGGAACCTAATAGCACTAGGGTCTATTAGGGCTTTGTTGAGCCCTAATAGTACTAGGGGCCTATTAAGGCTAATGTTGGGCCTAATAATACTAAAGAGCCCTATTAGGACGGGTGAGGGCCTAATAGTACTAGGGGCCTATTAGGACTAGGTGGGGAACTAATAGTACTAGGGGCCTATTAGGACTGTGTGGGGCCTAATAGTACTAGGGGCCTATTAGGGCTAGGTGGGGCCTAATAGTACAAAGTGACCAAGAATTTACGGTATGCCTATGTATTAAGAATATGACCCCGTTATCTGGACACCTTGACAATAACGAGGCTGTGGTTAATCCCGTAGAGTGAAGCCTTCCCATTGGCTATCGTTATCATGGGTGGAGGCTCCTCATTGGCTATCGTTATCATGGGTGGAGGCTCCTCATTGGCTATCGTTATCATGGGTGGTGTAGATAGTTCCGTACCATGATAGGCTATTAAGGGAGAGGGTAGTTAAGGATAGTAAACAGTCTTTACGGAAATGACTGTACCAGAATCCTCGATATAACGGACTTTCATCTATATAGTTCGTTATATGGAGGTTTTACATCTAACGGACCCTCGATATAAAGGACTTTCATCTCTATATAGTTCGTTATATGGAGGTTTTACATCTAACGGACCCTCGATATAACGGACAGGTGTTGACAGGTGAGGACAGGTGTATACAGGTGAGGACAGGTGTGGACAGGTGTAGACAGGTGAGGACAGGTGAGGACAGGTGTATACAGGTGAGGCAGGTGTGGACAGGTGTAGACAGGTGGGACAGGTGTAGACAGGTGTGGACAGGTGTTGACAGAGTGTTGACAGGTGTAGTGTTGACAGGTGTGAACAGGTAGGCTGGGTCGTGCGTGCCTCTTATTACGGTAAATAACCTGCAAAACCTTTATATCGGGTTACACCTGTCCGTAAGACCTCTATTTAATGAACTATATGAGATGAAAGTATACTGGGAGTGAAGGTGTGTGTGTGTGTGTGTGTGTGTGTGTGTGTGTGTGTGTGTGTGGGTGTGTGTGGGTGTGTGTGTGTGTGTGTGTGTGTGTGTGTGTGTGTGTGTGTGTGTGTGTGTGTGTGTGATTAGAGAGAGACAGAGAGAGAGAGAGAGAGAGAGGGGGGACACACACACACACACACACCACCCACCCACACACACACACACACACACACACACACACACACACACACACACACACTATGCTATTTATCTTTTATTAAAAGTTTTCAAAATAAAACCAATTTTTCCTCTTTCTGCCTACAGGTATGTCGACGCAGACGTTGGTAACACTGTCAAAATCTGAAGCCGAGTTGGTAACACTGATACTCCTGAATTGAGGTTGGTTACACTACAGTAAGTTATAAGTTACAGGGTGATGCATTACAGGTTACAGGATGATATAGATTACAGGACAGAAGGCTGACTACAGGATAAAGCAGGTGGAATTAATTATACATAAATATATAGCGTAAGATTTGTCAACAATGTGTATATGTTTGTTATGTAAACCTGTTGTGTGTACATGTGTGTGTGTGTGTGTGTGTGTGTGTGTGTGTGTGTGTGTGTGTGTGTGTGTGTGTGTGTATTATGGCTTGGGTGTGTTTGGTTAGGTTAGTTTTTTTTTAGGTCAAGGTTTGATTAAGTTAAGCTTGAGTAACTTCCGTTCGTTTGGATTAAATTAGGTTAGGTTAGGTTAAGGTTGGATTAAGTTAGGCTTGGTTCAGTTGGTGTAAGTTAGTTAAACATAGATTAAGTCAAGTCAGGTTAGGTTAGGTTAGGTTAAGGTTGGATTTAGTTAGGCTTGGTTCAGTTGGTGTAAGTTAGTTAAACATAGATTAAGTTAAGTCAAGTCAGGTTAGGTTAGGTTAGGTTAAGGTTGGATTTAGTTAGGCTTGGTTCAGTTGGTGTAAGTTAGTTAAACATAGATTAAGTTAAGTCAAGTCAGGTTAGGTTAGGTTAGGTTAAGGTTGGATTTAGTTAGGCTTGGTTCAGTTGGTGTAAGTTAGTTAAACATAGATTAAGTTAAGTCAGGTCTCCGTTCGTGGATTGGCCCGATCAGGTGCAGAAGCGATCAGCTGTTATTATGTAAACAAACAATCCCAGTTTTCGCCGCCATCTTGTTTCGGCATGACGTCACCTGATGATGTTTTGTGACTAATATTTACGGGTTCTTGTGGTTAGGTTAGGTTAGGTTAAGTCAGGCTAGGTTAGGTTAAGTTAATGGTAAGTCAGGTTAGGTTAGGTTAAATTAGGTAAGGTTAAGTTAAGCCAAGTTAAGTTGGGTTAAGTTAATGGTAAGTCAGGCTAGGATAGGTTAAGTCAGGTTAAAGTTAAGGTAATCACCGTAACTTTGAACATGTTGGACGGGTTAACACACACTGCAGTCGTTGTCGTGTTTAAATAGCGATATTAGCCAGCTCATTTGCATACAGTGAGAACCTCGATATAACGAACTTTAATCTCCATATAGTTCGTTAAATAGAGGTTTCACATCTAATGGACCCTCGATTTAACGGACTTTTATCTCTGTAGTGACGAAGTTTTAACGAATTATTAATTTTTTACCTAAATATGCAAATTACTTACCTAACCTGACTTACCCTTAACCTAACCTCTCATCTCTCATCTCTCACCTCTCACCTCTCATCTCTCATCTCTCACCTCTCATCTCTCATCTCTCACCTCTCATCTCTCACCTCTCATCTCTCACCTCTCATCTCTCATCTCTCATCTCTCCTCTCATCTCTCACCTCTCATCTCTCATCTCTCACCTCTCACCTCCTCTCTCACCTCTCATCTCTCATCTTTCACCTCTCATCTCTCACCTCTCATCTCTCCCCTCTCATCTCTCATCTCTCATCTCTCACATCTCATCTCTCACCTCTCACCTCTCATCTCTCACCTCTCACCTCTCATCCTCTCTCTCATCCTCTCACCTCTCACCTCTCATCTCTCACCTCTCCTCCTCTCATCTCTCACCTCATCTCATCTCTCACCTCTCATCTCTCTCATCTCTCCTCCTCATCTCTCTCATCTCTCACCTCTCATATCTCATCTCTCATCTCTCACCTCTCTCTCTCATATCTAACATCTCCATATCTCATCTCTCACCACTCTCATCTCTCTCCACCTCTCACCTCTCATCTCTCATCTCTCACCTCTCCTTATCTCATCTCTCATCTCTCCCTCACCTCTCATATCTCCTCTCCTCTCACCTCTCATCTCTCATCTCTATCTCCTTCAATTACAGGGTCTCAGTTCTCAATGTCTCGCTAAGTATTTTTTCTCGTGTTGTTGTGTGTGTGTGTGTGTGTGTGTGTGTGTGTGTGTGTGTGTTCGTTCGCCACGCAGTAAATAACGTGTTTTTCTCGAGCTAATTTGCATACAGCCAAGGTAGATACTAGTACAGGTGGATGCTGGTGCAGGTGGATGCAGGTACAGGTGCTGGTGCAGGTGGATGCTGGTGCGGTGGATGCTGGTGCAGGTTGGATGCTGGTGCAGGTGGATGCTGGTGCAGGTGGATGCTGGTGCAGATTGGATGCTGGTGCGGGTGGATGTGACCTGTGGTGGATGCTGGTGCGGTGGATGCTGGTGCGGGTGGATGCTGGACGCGGGTGGATGTGGTGCAGGGTGGATGCTGGGCTTGGGTGGATGCTGGTGCAGATGGATCGCTGGTGCGGGGTGGATGCTGGTGCAGGTGGATGCTGGTGCAGGGTGGATGCTGGTACGGGTGGATGCTGGTGCAGGTAGATACTGGTGCGGGGTGGATGCTGGTGCAGATTGGATGCTGGTACGGGTGGATGGTGCAGTTGGATGCTGGTGCGGGTGGGATGCTGCGTACGGGTGGATGCTAATTGCAGGTAGATGCTAGTACAGGTAGATGCTAGTACAGGTAGATACTAGTACAGGTAGATACTAGTACAGGTGAATGCTAGTACAGGTGGATACTAATTGCAGGTGAATACTAGTAGCGGGTAGATACTAGTGCAGGTAGATACTAGTACAGGTAGTGCTAGTGCAGGTAGATACTGGTACAGGTGAGTACAGGTAGATACTAGTACAGGTAGATGCCTAGTACAGGTAGGTAGATGCTGGCAGGTAGATGCTAGACGGGTAGATACTAATTGCAGGTGGATACTGGTACAGGTGAATGCTGAGTACAGGTGAATACTAGTACAGGTAGATACTAGTACAGGTAGATGCTAGTAGATGGTCTACTAGTACAGGTAAGATACTAGTACAAGTGAATATACTAGTACAGGTAGATACTAGTACCAGGTGAATACTAGTACAAGTACAGTGTCTGACCTTCTCTTCATTATGGTGTTGTGTTGTGGTGGTTAATGGTTTCAGTGGTCTGTTATTGTTGTTAAGTAACGTTATGGTGTTAAGTAACGTTATGGTGTTAAGTAACGTTATGGTGTTAAGCAACGTTATGGTGTTAAAAATAACGTTATGGTGTTAAGTAACGTTATGGTGTTAAATAACGTTATGGTGTTAAATATCGTTATTGCGCCAGTAACGTTATTGCGTCATTAAAAGTAACGTTATATCATTAAATAACGTTATAGCGTCATTAACATTATAGCGTAATTAAGTAACGTTATAGCGTAATTAAATAACGTTATAGCGTCATTAAGTAACGTTATAGCGTCATTAAAGTAACGTTAAAGCGTCATTAAGTAACGTTAGCGTCATTAAATACGTTATTGCGTCATTAAGTAACGTTTTGCGTCATTAAGTAACATTATAACGTCATTAAGTAACGTTATAGTGTCAATTAAAGTAACGTTATAAGCGTCATTAAGTAAGTTATAGCCTCAAAAAGTAACACTATAATGTTAAGTAACGTTATGACGTCATTAAGTAACGTAACAGGTTTGTGTGTATTAGTGACACATTAATATTGTGTTGTTCCTTTTACCTTTGTAGTTCAGGTGTTAAATTTGGTAATTTATCCCTTGAGGTGTTGACTTATGTTAATGTTAGGCTCTGTTATGGTGGCCATGGCGCCTCTCTCTTCTCTCTCTCTCTCTCTCTCTTGTGTTGTGTGTGTGTAATACGCTATGTATGTATGTATGTATGTATGTATGTGATTTGAGTTGAGCCAGTGGTTTCTGACAGTGGTAGCAGAACAGGAGGTGTAGCACTGTTGTACACGTTGTTGAGTGTTCTGTGAAGAGTGATCAACGTCAGCACCAGTCAGCACTGCTTGTGTGTCACCGTCGACACACACACACACACACACCTCCTTTACACACACACACACTACACACACACACACACACACACACACACACACAACACTCCACACACACACACACACACACACACACACCTCCCTCCCTTTACAACACACACACACACACACACACACACACACACACACACACACTCACACACACCTCCCACTTTTCCACACACACACACATACCCTCCTCCTTTACACACACACACACACACACACAGGACGGAGAACAGCCAGGTGTGTGTGGGTGTGTCTGTCAGCTGTCGAGGTCTGAATGTTTACAGTCTTGTTATAAAATCTACTTCAGTCGATGGAGCCGAGTTTGGTGGACAGATTCCTGTTGTGTGGTTAGGTTAAAGTAAGGTTAGGTTAGGTTCAGTATGGTTAGGTTAAGTAAGGTTGGGTTAGGTTCAGTATGGTTAGAGTTAAGTAAGGTTAGGTTAGGTTCAGTATGGTTAGGTTAAGTAAAGGTTAGGTTAGGTTGAAGTTTAAATACATCCAGGGCCTGAGGCGAAAATGTAATAATAACAATAATAATAATAATTAATTCAAAATAAATAAAATTTTAATAATAAAAATACTTCTAATAATAATTATAGTAATAATAATAATAATAATAATAATAATAAAGAACCATAAAAACACAAAAATAGAAAAAGATCAATAGTACAGAAACGATATTCTGTATTTGTGGTGTGGTGTGGTGTGTTGTGTTGTGGTGTGGTGTGGTGTGTTGTGGTGTGTTGTGTTTTGTTTTGTGGTGTGTGTGTTGTTTTGTGTTGTGTTGTCGGAAACAATTAGAGACTGTGTGTGTAAATAGAAAGAAAGATCAGATCATCAACCTAACATGTCAGGGTCTCCATAACACAACACATTATCCTCTTCCTCCTGTTTGGTGGCAGCCTCTGGGTTAGAGTTAGAGTTAATTTAGGGTTGGGTTACCTGTAGCTTGGGTTAGGGTTGGGTTACCTGCTAGCCTAGTTAGGTTAGGGTTGGGTTAGGGTTAGAGTTGTTAGGGTTAAGGTTGGGTTGGGTTAGGGGTGGTTCAATCACAAGGTAATCCCAAAACTTAGGTAACCAGAGTTTCAACGTTCTCAAAAGCCACTGTAATTACTGGTTTGAGCCTCAAGCGAATGCAGGATCTTGAATGGTAGGAGAGGTGGATGATGCAGGGGAGTGATACTACAGGAGGTGGATGGTGGGGTGGATAGTACAGGAGGTGGATGGCACAGGATGTGGATGATTGGAGGTGGATGAGTACAGGAGGTGGATGAGTACAGGATGTGGACAGGGGTGGATGGCTGAGGAGGTGGATGAGTACAGGGGTGATGACTACAGGATGTGGATGGCTACAGGATGTGGATGAACACAGGGGTGGATGGCTACAGGGTGGATGACTACAGAGTGGATGACTACAGGTGGATGGATGAGTAGGTGGATGACCACAGGAGGTGGATGAGGCCGAACAATAGTTGGCGCTCCCATTAGACTTACTTTTCAGTTTAATAGTAAATTTTCATCAAGGTTTACAGAGATGTTGAACGCACTGGTGGAAGGAGATAAGGTTAGCAGCACTGGTGGAAGGAGTAGGTTAGCCACTGGTGGAAGGGAGTAAGGTTACACTGGTGGAAGGGAGTAGATTGGTAGCACACTAAGGGAGAATGAGTTAGCAGCACTGGTGGATTAGCAGCACTGTGGAGATGGAAGGAGGTGGCACTGGTGGGAGGTGAGTTGGCACTGGTGGAGGGAGGAGGTGGATTGGCAGCACTGGTGGAAGGGAGGAGTAGGTTGGCAGCACTTGTGGAAGGAGATGGAGTTGCAGCAGCACACTGGTGGAAGGAGGATAAGGTTGGCAGCACTGGTGGAAGGAGATGGGTTAGCCTGGTGGAAGGGAGGGAGGTTAGCAGCACTGGTGGAGATGAGGTATGGCGACGCACTGGTGATGGAGGGAGAGGTTAGGCAGCACTGGTGGAAGGAAATGGGTTAGCAGCACTGGTGGAAGGGAGGTAAGGTTAGCAGCACTGGTGGAAGAGGACACTAGTGGAGAGGGTAAGGTTAGCACTTGTGGAAGAGAGTTGACAGCATTGATGGAAGGGAGAGAGGTTAGCAGCACTGGTGGAAGGAGATGGGTTAACGCTCTGGTGGAAGGAGGTAAGAGTTATCCAGCACTGTGGAAGGGAGGGAAGGTTAGCAGCACTTGTGGAAGGAGGAAGGTTAGCAGCACTGGTGGAAGGGAGGTGGTTAGCCTTGGGAAGGAGAGAGAGTTAGCAGCACTGGTGGAAGGAGGAGAGGTTAGCAGCACTGGTGGAAAGGGAGGAGAGGTTGGCAGCACTGGTGGAAGGGAGGGAGTAAGGTTAGCAGCACTTGTGGAAGGGAGAATGTTGGCAGCACTGGTGGAAGGGAGAGGGTTGGCAGCACTGGTGGAAGGGAGGGAGAGGTTGGCAGCACTGGTGGAAGGGAGGGTAAGGTTGGCAGCACTGGTGGAAGGGAGGGAGAGGTTGGCAGCACTGGTGGAAGGGAGGGAGAGGTTGGCAGCACTGGTGGAAGGGAGGGAGAGGTTGGCAGCACTGGTGGAAGGGAGGGTAAGGTTAATTTTAACATTAACACATAAGAAAACATTTTTAACACTAAAATAAACATTATGGTCATTGTACAGTCCCCTTCACTAGTGAATTGAATTGTAACAGTTTATTTAGCATTAAAAACACAGATACAGAGTGGATAATAATAACAATATTAACATGGCTGAGCCAGTTGAGAACCTGAGCTGTACCTGATATATACTATACATTTATCTCAAGGAAGTATTATGTAACATTTAGTATTATCTGGAATAGTACAATAGCATGGTGGTAATAAGAACATGTTACCACGGTTATCACTTCAATATTTATTAATTTTATTTATTTATTAATATTTTTAGTTAATTTATTTTATTTTATTTATTTATATATACATATAAATTACAGTGGAATTGAAAAACATAAGTATAATGGGGGAGCAGTACAACCTGGGGTGTACAGTAATAAGGTTGAACAAGATGACAGAGCTGTCAGGATTATGTCTAGTTGGCAATTATGTTTACATGATAATTTCCGATAAAACGGTTTTGATGGTACAATAAAAGCAGGTACTGTAAATATAGTAGGTGTTACAAGAAATATTAATACTTAGACAACATATATTTTTTAAAAGATGATTTAAAGGAAGGGAGCGTAGTCTTTGCTGGGATGGGTTGGGGTAAGTTGTGATATTTTATGGAGGTCTGGGACTGAGAGGAGCGCATGGGGGGTGGTCTTAGTAGCTCTGGGTGCCTTAAGTTGTATCTCTGATTATTCTGGAACTGGAAATAATTATTGTCAAGCAAGTGATTGATAGATTTGTAAGAAAAGAGGGCACAGCAGTAGGTGTTAATATCTTCGAATTTTTAAATTTTCATTATAGCAAATTTTTCGTTTGTGTGATATGTTTTTTTTTTCAAGTAGGTCATTGTCCGTACAACTCTCTTTTGTGCAGTAACCAGAGACTGTGTTTTTGAACAGCCGGTGTGTTTACAGGGGCTCGTCATATAGTCTAGGTACAATCCCCTTCACTAGTGTGTTTACAGGGGCTCTTCATATAGTCTAGGTACAATC